AAAAGGCATTTAGAGAACAACCAACTCGAAGGATCGATTCCTAGTTCACTTGGGGAACTACCAAATCTTAAAGAAGTGTAAGTTTTTTACAGCTGAATTCTATGTCTGATTGCCTATAGTGATTTATAAGCATACGAAAGAAGTAACAATATGTTTCATTTTTACCGACAGGTTTTTACAGAACAACAAACTCGACGGTAAAGTCCCGGATTCTCTGAAAAATAAGGAAGGTCTAATCATTCGGTAAGTCCTTAATCCTACATTTAGAGAATCACAGATTAGCCTTAAAAGTAGAATTCTTTAGATACTTGTTACTATATAAGGATATATGTATTTTGGGATCATGTTTTGTGGATTTCTGTAGGCTTTAGTATGCAAAATTCGGAGAATATCAGCATCGGAGGAGAAAAGTGAGATTGGAATTTTCGCCTACTTCGAAATGAAATACGGATCTGTAACTTTATTTTATTTTTCTTTTTATTGTTCATATTTTTTTATTGTACTATGATTGTGTTTATGTTTCAGTTGATGCATACTGATGATCTACAAAACACAGTAACTAATTTACAGTAGGTTTTCTTGATATTGGGGTAAATTTAATTATTGGTGATTCAACTGGGCTACATTTTTGCTTATTTTAATTTGGAAAGTTGTAAATTGAGATAGCAACACCCTTTGTACTTTTTTGTCCTACAGCCAATGGTTTTGTTTTGAGCAAACATTCTTAAAAGATGCGACTTTAATGTAGACTTTGTAGCTCGCAGTATATATAGAACCAAACCTTTTGTAGCACTGTATCAAACTATTTTTAATACAACTTGTCCAAAAATGGCAAAAGAATAGAGAAGATTACGTATCAAAATTGGATTAACTTTGAAGGTAAAGAATATATACGAAACGCGTCTTACTTTCATCATATATAAACTTAGAGGGACAAGAATTTATTCCCAGGCCGGTAATTCACCTGACTCTAGGTTATTATCGGTGTAATCATCGGGTCACCAAATCAATTATTGAATTAAATAATTAATTTTTTTAAAATTAAGTTATATTTATAATATTTTTTATATTATAATTATACATAAAATAACAAAAATAATAATAATTTTTATGCAAATTTGATACCTCAAAGTCTTAATTGACTTTGATAATATTGTATCTCGTAAATATTTACCACATAAACATGTATAAATAATTTTATTTTTAAAATATGAAATAAGACACACATAATAGACGGGTCAAACCGAATAACCCGGCTGGATCCAGATTTAGGTAAGGTCCCTTGTTAGNCCTTTGCACCTTAAGATATCTCATCTCTCGACCTAAGAATCTTTTGCAACTAGTTGAGGCATAAATTATTCTGTACTATCATCTAAGCATCAGAATAACTTAAAACAATGTACTTTCATACAAAGTAGCATCCAAGTATACGACTATGTATATATTTGTGCCGTTCGGATCGTCTGAGTCTCAAAAACTCGTCCCATTCCAAGACTTTCTCCACCATAATCGCTAAAAAAATGTCGACTTTCAGCTTTCTTGACATGCAGTATAACAACCTCTCAAAGAAAAAGTTCTTGAAAAAACCTTCGAGAATGTTTTCAAGGGACAGGCAAAGCTCGTCGAGCCTTTTCCCCATCTACTTGCCGAACACAAATGAGCTTAGGCAAATATTCAACAAATTCGACTCCAACAAGGACGGTAAGATCTCACCAGACGAGTACAAGGCTATACTAAAAGCATTGGGGAAAGGAAGCCTAATTGCTAAAGAAGTTAAGAAAATATTCGAAATTGCAGATTTGGACGGCGATGGGTACATAGATTTCGACGAGTTTGTGGAGGTGCAGAAGAAGGGCGGTGGGGTGAAAACGGCTGATTTTCACCGTGCTTTCCAGGCATTTGACAGAGATAATGATGGGAAAATTACAGTTAGTGAAGTGTACGAGTTGCTTAAGAATCTTGGGGAGAGGTGCAGCTGGCAAGATTGCCAGAGAATGGTGAGGGCTGTGGATAGCAATGGAGATGGTGTGATTGACTCGGATGAGTTCGTGACTATGATGACTCGTACCATGACTATACATTAAGATCGAATTCGGAAATAAAATATGCCTTTGTGTTGTGTGTGTGTGTGTGTGTTCTAGTAAATTTGTGCTTGTAAACTAGTTATGAAAAGAGTGAGCCCAAGAGAGTTTTCTAACTTATTGGTGTTTGTATGTAAGTACATCTATAGCTTTGGGTATGTGAAGGTATTTTCAACAATTTTGTTCTCCTTTGATTTACACTATTATTGGAAATGGAAGTTCAGAGAACACCCATAATTAGGGTTGTTATCGAACCGAACTGTTCGCGTTCGCTAACAACTCATTTGTATTGTAATCGATCCGAACTCGAACATATGCCCGTTTAGTTATCGAACGAACACAAACAAGTTCGCGAACTAATCGAGCGTTCACGAACAACAAAAGTATTTTATAATTTTATATTATATATATACTATATACATATATAATATAATATATAAATATGGATATATACTGAATATTAAATAATATAATTTGTATGGTATTAAAATAAAAATTAAAAAGTCAACAAACACAAACACCAACTTGTCGAACCATTCGAACACGGACGTGTCGAACCAATAAACGAACAAACACAAATGAAATTTTTTGTTCGATTAATAAACGAACGAATGCGAACATGTTCGAAAATTAGTTGAACTCGAGCTCGAAAACCTTAAGCTCGGTTCGGTTTGGTAAAATACATACAATTAGTGTAACAAGAACACTGGCAAAACTAAGAGACCAAAAACAAAGTAAAAGACTAATAATAAGTGGATGATATATAAACCAAGAAAAAATAAATCACCCCAAAGATGGAAACAAATGTACCGTGGAAACGAACAGGAAACTACTCTTGATTCTATTCATGGATAATGACATCAAAACAACCTTATGCAGCAGCAATGTAATCTCAAATATTCGGAAACTTCACGAACTAAAGTACTAAACTTGCCATCAACAATTCAGTCTTCATTTCGAACGCGAAATAGATAAAACAGAGAGCTACAGCGTTTTTGATTTATCAACAAACTCCTCAAAAAGAGAAGTTACAATGTACCTCAAACAAGCAGCTGGAACAATTTCATCATCCCCTGATTTATAGCCACACGGTCCCTTCCTATCTCAGGCAGCACAACTCACTCATCAAAAGCCATAAAAAAAAACTTACCAGTAGTCATTGCACGAGCACTTCCCATCCTTAAAATGATGAAACCTCTTGTTATCCCTCACAATCAGCTCTCGTCCAACTATCCTCGACATAATCTTGATAAAATTGTGGCAGTCACCGCAAACACGCAGGTTCTTGATGATCCTCAGTGGGGTCCGCGCCGGAGTACAGATCAGTCCATAAGCAATCGCCAGGCGTTCACTGTGGTACAGCAAAGCCTGTTCTTTAGCCTCTTGGTCAATATCGTGAAGGACATAACGTGTATCAGGCACATAAGCCTGCTGCTTTTGCGCCTCACGAAGTTTCTCATCGTCTTTGTAAAGAGTAGGGTTTCGAAACTCGGTTATCCTGTTCCTCCCGACCAGCATGTTGATGGCCATTTGCTTTTTCGGGGGCGGTTTTGGAATTTTGTCCTTGACTGCCTTAGACGGGTCAAGATCGACAATAAGCTCCTCCACATGATCTTCGAGCTCAATGTCACCATGCATTCGGGCGTAGTTCATTAGTGCCTCCCAAAAAACGACTTTATCCGTGGGCTCGAATGGGAGTGTTTCGATGTATGCGATGGCCTCCGCCAAGTGGCCCGATTTCCCAATCACGCCTAAAAGGGCCAGATGGTGTTCGATTCCTGGGGAGATGCCATGTTCGGTTTCCATGGATTTGAAATATATGAATCCCTCTTCAATGGCTTCGGCAGTTGCGCAGGCTTCCAAGACAGCAAGAAAAGTCTGGTGGGTCGGGCGCAGGCCCAAATTCCTCATCTGTTCAAACAGGGCCAGCCCATCATCACCAAGCCCGTTTGTAGCATACCCATTGATCATCAGGTGCCATGAATCCATGCTCCTTTCAGGCATATGATCGAACACCCGGCGTGCATCTACCATGCTCCCACACTTGATGTACATATCAAGCACCATGTTGATCAACCGCAGTTCGCTCCTGAAAGTCGACCTCAGGAAATAGTCGTGCACCTGCTTCGCGTCCCCGTGCTTTTTCGGATGCGCGCACAGCTGGAAAAGCAAGCTAAAGCACTCAGCATCTGCAAGCACGCCCTTCTCCATGTGTTCGATTACCTCCTTCACCTTACCCTCATGGCACAAACTCAGTAAATCCACGACTTTAGGCGGCTGATCTTGGTCCCTTGTGGCCACACCATGGCTCTGAGCCTGAGCCTGATTAGTTCCTGCAATCGGGCCACGTTGAACCCACTGACTCTGGCTCTGCTGTTGGGCATGGAACCCATTGTTGGGGCCTTGGTTGTAATTACTCGTCCATTGATCGACACCTCCGTTTGGGTAGTTCTGGGTCCGATTAGGGTTCTGTGGATAACCCTGGTTCTGATATCCTCCCTGAGGATGATGATGACGACGATTCCTTTCCAAATCCGGGTTCGAATTATGGGCGTATCCTTGATCTTGATTAGAATTTCCCCATTCGTTGCTGTTTCCACGCGGAGGATTAGAATAATTATGGTTCTGCTGGAAACCCTGATTCGAATAGTTTGGCCCAGGGTTTGTACCTCCATGCACATAATCGGTCGGGCCCGAATTGAAACTTCCTTGATTCGAGTAACCCTGATTCATCCCGCTATTCGGGTAGCCGCCGCCGCCGCCCTGGTACTGGAAATTATTGTTCTTCGGGCCGCCGGGATTTCTGAAATCATTGTTCCCAGAGGACCAGTGATTGTCATGGCTCTGGTTGAAATTGATCGACGGAGACGACGGCTGATGGGGATTCGGCCACTGGGAACCGTCGGCCGGCGTGGCGGTCGAGAGGGTTCGGACGGCGTGGGAAGAGGGGTTTAGGGTTAGGGATTTGGGGAATGAAACGAAGGGAGAAGGACGGCGGACCTTCCCGAGAGTGAAGGAGAAGCGAGCTCTGAGAATCGAGGATAGAGATGACGACGCCATATTTGGGTGGTCGAAATGAATAAACCTTTTCGTTCGTTGATAAACCCTACTGCAGTCTGCAGCTGGCCGTTCCCACTTACCAGCATTTTTTTTATTGGATGAGCGTGACCCGACCCGCCGAAAAAAAAAATAGATAATCTATTAAATTTATTAATTAGCTAATGCCTCTAAAATCTAAATGGGATAATATTAGAGAAATGTTATAGGTACATAATATTATACATAAGGTTGTACATAACACTCATATTGAGTGTGACCCACTAAAAATAAAAAATCTAGTAGACCCCACTCCATGTGAATATTATATACACCTGTATGGCTGTATGTACATTTATTATGTATTTATAGCATTTTTCATAATATTATTTGAGAAATGCTATAAGCCTATAAGTACATAATATTGTGTACATAACACTCACATTGTATGGGACGTACCAAAAATGAAAAATCAAGTGGACCGCACTCTATGTGAGTGTTATGTAAACTCTATGTACATTTATTATGTACTGGTAGCATTTTCCATATTCTTTAACTCACTTTATGCCGTGTTTACTAGCATGAATCGAGATCTATATATATATAATAAGATAAGAATTACCATTTACCAAAAATAGTAGCAAAAAATTAGGTCCGAATTTAATGCAACCTATAAATAGTATGTTTTATTATTTTTCTTTAAAAATCATACAACATTAAATGTTGCCTTAAATTTCGGGCTTTAGTTCAAAAAAATTACTGAACCTAAATATAAATTTTATATTTAAAATATTTTATTACGTGAATGTGATGTAGTCCAAACTTTAAATAATCGTATTAACAATACTTTTATGACAACATGTTTAATTATTTATGAATACTAGCGTGTAGTCCGTGCGATGCACGGGTAAACAATATTAAATAATAATTATAAATTAAATAGGAGAGTAAACAATATTAGCTAATAATTATAAATTAAAGATGTGGGGTAACATATATATTTAAGAAGTATCTAAAATATTCTATGTTAAATGCGATTCTCATTCAACAAAAAATAGCGTAAATAACGCAAAAAAGTCAAGCTTCCAGTATATACAATAACACAACCCACATGCACGAAATCGGTGATCGGACGGTCTAAATCGGTCAAAATGATCAACTGTCGTGAACATAGTTTTTAAACCCAACCCGAAAATCGACCCGGGCAGACCGAGTCAATTCCTGAACCGGATAATTAATTTTAAAATTTTTAAAATTATATATATAGTATTTTTGATATATTTATAAAGTTTACTTTTTATATAAAAAAATATTAAAAAAAATAAAAATTTATAGAGACCGGTTGACCCGGCCGGGTCAATGGCCCGGGTTGGCCCAGTTTTGACCGGGTTTGACTGGATCCATTGTTACCCGGTCCAAATAGCCCACCTTGACCGGTTTCGGCTCCGGGTCAACCAGCCGAGCCGGTCCGGGTCAAAAAACAATGGTCGTGAATAATCCATTTTACCTATAAAAGGTGAGATTTCCCTACTCGTTAGGGTTTTCATAAGATCCACCTCCACATTATTTATTTTTTTCTCAACTTAGTTTTGTTCAATTCTGAAGAACGATTCACATATTAACTTTGTGAATATTATGTTTTTGTTTCAAAATATTGAAAACTTATTCGAATTAAAAAAATTAAAAAATTAAAACCGCTTGATTTTGTGCCAAATAGAGTATGTAAGATAGTTGAGATTTTATAAATTATCAAAATATTAGAAACTTGTTCAAATTCAAAAATGTTTGATTTGCCCAGAGCAAAAAAAATTATACTTATCACATTCTCATTAAATATAGGAATAGGAATTTAAGGACCAATTATCTTAAAGATCTATTTCTCCATTACTAGTCGCAACCCGTGCGATGCACGGGATAATATATATTTCTTGATTACTTAACATCTTCAATATTAAAATTAATAAACTTGTTATATATGTAATAGAAATAAAGGGTTGCAGACAAATAAAAAAATTACAAATTATTGAACACTTTCTTGTAAACAACGTTTTATATTTGATTTGTTGGCGAGTCGTCGTCACCACAGACTAATATATTCAAACCGCTTCAGTTGGTGACGCGGGAGACAACAATGTATAATAGTCCATGACTGAAAACCAACTTCTTAAGAAATAAACCAACACGTAATAAGATTGTGTCTGACTCTTGTTTACATTCATAGCAACATAATGGGAAATTGTCGCCGCTGATATTTGAAAGGATTATAACATCGGAAGGATTTATAGACATTCTAGTAATCAACATGCTTTAAATGAAACTGATGATTTGGAATTCCAAAACATTTGCTACTATCAGAACACATATTATCAGAACTTAAGTACGTATGACACCAAACAAATTCAACGATGTCTTGTCTCATTTATTGACTCAACAACATCTAGTGCCGGTGCTAACATAGCCTTGTCCTTCAAATAGTTGGGATCATCGGTTGTCGTCTTAGACATTGGATACGTATTTTCAACGATTTGAAATCAGATCATCAGAAGGCCCAAACAATATATCCTCATATATGTCTATCATTGCACAACCATCGTTGAAAAATAATTTCCAATATGTTCTAGTATTTTACATCAAATTTACGTTTGAATGCGCGGACAGCCCTCCGTTTCAAATATGGTTTATCGGTACGATAAACTGACTTGAGAGAACCACACGCAAGCGGTATTTTGATATATTGAAAACATTGCAATAAATAAAATAGCGGATCAAAAATGTGGAAGAAGTGCGTTAAATGATTGAGATATGGAACTTTTTATAGATAACATTTTGACACTCCTACGATGTGTGAACTCTTTTAAATTTGATTTATCTTAATTTTTACGTGATTGTATCCTATAGATTAGGTTAGAAAATCGTGCAAGTTTTTCAATTGCATATAACAATCCAAATTCTATTCCTTTAGTTAGAGCATCTCCAATGCTCAAATGTTGTGGTAAATTACATTTCATATCGACATATTTAGCAATGTCACAACTTTTCATCCTCTAATGCACAAAGTGATCACAAATGTTGTGATGATGTGGATATAATTAATGCCTACATTGTAGAGAAGAATGTGATTCATCTACATTCTCATTCACACTCTAGCTAGTCAATAAAGAGAAGAGAGAGAATTATTCTTATAAATTCTAAATTATTTAAGTATATAATTAATATTCTTAATACATATAATAAAATTTTAATATTTAGTTAGTAGATAATATTATAGTTAGACTACATTGTGCATAATTTTTTAATTTCATAGTTGTTAACTTAACATTTTTCCTACATGATTCACAATCTATTTAATTTATTGACATTTATCAAAATTTATTGTATAACAAATTTAAAGCATTGGAGATGCTCTTAGGTAACTAAACTTCATTAAACACGACCATATTTTATAAAAAGTTAATAAATCATAGATTTAATCAATAAAATAATTGGTTGTGTGATGTACAATAGCAAAATATTTTCGATTTATTTTTTTAGGTGACAATATCCTATAGAATAGAAAAATATTCTGGCACATTTTTTGAAGCAAAATATATTCGGCTTATTTTTTAGGTGGATGTATCATATAGAATAAGAAAATATTTTTGGAAATTTTTACGTGGATGCAATGTCAATCCGATTTCTTTCTTTCTTTCTTTTTTATTTTTTTTTATTTTTATTTTTATGTGGATGTATATTATAGACCAAGTAACAAATTCATGCAAGTTTTGACTTGCATATGACATTCTGATTTATTTTTCTTTAGTGATTCGATACTACATATTAATTGAATAAACAAATCATAAAAATGCAGCATAAAATTGATGTATTTAAATAATAATATAATGACAAATTACATCAGAATCGTAAAAGATAATCTCAAGAACGTTTTGGTAATTGCTCGCGTCTTCAATGGAACGTTCTAATAATGTGTAGCTTGAACATTGGCCTATTAGTTCTTTTGATATCTTTGATTCTGCTAAAAACCAAAGACATTTTGAATTGGGGTGGAAAAGTTGATTCAAAAGTTTGGTTTGTGGAATGGAATATTTCCTGTCGATGTTTGGTTCAATGATCCCACCAATGTGGGGTTTATATAGTGATTGTATATGTGCCATTTACCTATTAATTTTAATTAAAAATAAATAAAAACCTTAAAAAACATTTGAAAATAGAGTAAATTTGGATATTCGATAATGTAATCAAGTATTGATATTAAATTGATTTTATTTTATTTTTCCTAACGACTTTGATAATGATTGACACAAAGTTCAAAAGCTAATGATTGGATTTGAAAATTCTAAAAAAATTCCAAACTTTTTTAATTCGGCCACTCTTTTTTTTTAACTCAAACCTCACTATCATAAATATTATCAATATAATTAAATAATATCAATCAATCATTCTTACACATTAAATCAACTTTAATTATGTTATTTTAAATATTATTTTAATATATGAACTAACAATTAACCATACCATGTTTTTTCAAAATTAACCAAGCCAAACTAAAAAAATCCAAACACAACCAAAAATCTTATATCCAAGCATAACTTATTTTGTTAAA